TTCTCTCATGAACGGCTTCATTTGATCACTGCCAACCCTTCCTAGCCTTCGTCCTCTTCCTCTCCACATAAAAAAAAAATAGACTGTAGTGTCCTTGGGGCAGGGAGCCTTTCTTAATTTCCTTTCGCCCGCCACATGCTGCTGACTGTGTGGTTTTTAACGTCTGTCTTTTTGCAAGCTGCCCAGAATCATTTGGGAGTGGGTGGCATGCAAATTTGAAAAATAAACAACAGTTATTAACAGCTCCTTGCCTTGGAAGAGGCCATGGGGGTCATCAAATCCAACCCCTGCTCAGTGCAAGAATACAAAATAAAGATCCAAATTACTTGCAGGTTGCAAGAACCTAGCTGTAGACTTGCACCGTGAGAAAACTGGTTATTGTACTTGCAAGTGAGTAAACACTACACAACTCAATAGGACCAACTTCAGAGGAAACCCACTAGTCCTAAGCAACTTTAGTGCAGAACAGTTTTCTGCAGTTGGGGAGCCCCAGATGTGACAACCACAACTTCCACGATCCCCAGTCAACAAGGTGAGGCTGCTGTAAAGCATTAATTTTATTTTTTTGTCCCGCTTGTGTGAATCCCATCAGTCGGGATGCAGCCCGGGGAAGCAGCCAGATAACAGCTCTAAATTTGCTCTCTTCAGAAAAAAATATTTCATGCTGTGATGTGAGTTGTCCTCACGTTTAATCTCGCTTGTTGATAAAAGCTGCAGATCAGAGAAACTTCAAGGCTCAGGAATTGCAACATATAATTATTACCATAAGTAATATTTTATTTAAATCCCCCTCATAAGACTAGAGCTTATGGTCACCCACCACCAAAAAGAACAAACAAAAGGGCATATAACTCACTGCCACAAGATATGGTGTGAGCCATTCATTATAAAAAAAAAGGAGTTCAAATCAGACAAGAGGACAAATGAAAGATTTCTTAGTACTTCTTAAGCATGAAAGTGGGATTTAATTTCCACACACGCCTTTGATCCCCAATGAGACATGTCAGGGCACAAAACAAAGGCTAGGATCCTGAATTTCTCGGAGGCTTGTGAACAGAAAGACACTTTGCACATACACTCACATGGAACCATGGACCTGGAAGGAAGAACAGAGCCAATCATCCACTCCCCCGCTCAATGCTCATATTTCTGCTCGATGAAAACGGGAGACCCCCAGAGAACTGTATAAGTGGGGTTCACCCCAAATCACCATAGCACACCTACAGTGCTTGATCATCAGGCCTTTGACAGCTCAACAAATTTAATTGCTCTGTTTTCCTGTGAGATTCCTTCACCAGTTCTTTTCTTCCTTTGCTGCCCCCTGCCCAGGCCCCATTGCCCCCTGTAAATTAAAAACTCTAACTATGCCTCATATATCCATTGTTGATATTACGAAACAGACACACTGGCAATAGCAATCTTTACCTCTGCTGTTTGATAGATAGATAAAGGTGTGTTGCTTGGGTGGGAAGAAACTCCAGGAGAATTCTAGGTACAGAATGTCTACTTGAGAGTAATTTCCATGATTGCCCATGGGACTTACTCCACAGAAAACACAATTAGGATTGCAATCCAGACCTTTCAGGCTACACCACGTAATGGGTAGTAAGGCCCATTGAACACTATGAGGTTACAAGATTGTGCAGCAAATCCAGCGTAGTCTATAATTTAGAAGGGAAAAGAAAGACTCACACCCACTCACTTTCTCTATGAACTTAGTGGAGGCAATTGAGTAATGGTGCAATAGAGCCTTTAATTTCAGCAAACTATCTGGCAATTACTTTTTATCTGAAAGTTGCTAAGCGTGTTTCCAGAAACTCCTTGTAATAAGGACCAAATTCGAAGGTGGAAAACAAAACTTTTGATCATTCACCCAGAAGGCCAGATTGTGTTCAGGGAGACCTGGATTCACCTTCACGCTCGGTTACGGAAACTCATTGGGCCTGTCCCTCCCTCTCAGCTCAGCCTACCTCACAAGACTGTTGTGAAGAAAATCTGGGAAAGGGGGATTGCTATGTCTGAGTCGGGTGCTCCTTGGAGGAATGGTGGCAATGAAATAAAAACAAGCCAAAAGCTGTAGCGTATCCCTAGTTTCTAGAATAGATGAACTTTGGGGTGAAGGTCGGAGAGGGATGTAGAAAGGACTGGTACCTACAAATCTACCTCTTCATCAATCTTTTCTTTTTTTTTACAGAAATAAACCTCCACCTGCTCCATTCACATATTGTGTATGCATGTGTGTGCGTGCGTGTGTATGGGGGGTGAAAAAACACCCCCATAAGCTGCATTTCAGCCCTCCTCCTCCAAAGGCCCTTGCCATTCTTAAGCCAGGCGCACAGCAGAATCCCAGGCACGTGCTATCGGTGGGAGCATTTGCGCGGATCCGGCCGATGAACCCAGTTCTCTCTCCAGACACGGATACGCGACGAGAGACAGGGATTCAACCCCGCGAGTTGGCCGGTGCCCTCCCTGCTCTCACCCGGCAGAGATACGCACAGACCACAAGGGCAAATTTAAGGCGGCTGGACTTCAGGCAGGCAAGGCCGCGTTCAGTTTTCCCCTCCCAAAAATATTCTCCAAACATTTCCCCTCCCCACCCCCGCCGGAGAAAGTGGCC